AATATATTATTTTCAATTAGAGATATTAATCTTAGAATAATAATTTGTTTTTGGTCGTCTACTAATTCAATATTTATGTTGTTGATAAAGGTGCGATTCCTATGCACGCGTCTGTAGACGCGCCGCGGCGCGCCGCGATTCAAATTCCAGCCGCGCTGTCGTATTTTCGGTAGCGCGGCCGAATATTGATTCCTATGTCAGCGATTGAAACGCGCTACTCTGCGGCGCGTTTTAATTTTATAAACTTGTTGTAGAATTATATTTTCTAATTTTACTTGATCATTGTTCACCGTACAACTGACAGTGGAACACGTGGAATAGTTTTCAATATGTCATCTCTTGCAAAAAAGCAAAAATTAATGTTAAATTTACTTCTATTACAAGAAGCAGATGAAGAACATGCCATTATTAAACATGTAATAGAAAATGCAGAAAAAAACAAAACACACGATATGTTCTTGGCCAGAAAATCTGAAGGTTTTTTTAGTATTCTTATTGAGAAACATTTATGGCGTGACGAAAAAAAATTCAGAAAATTTTTTAGGGTAAGTTGTGACCAATTTCATTACATATTAAATATCATAGAAGAAGATATCAAAACGAGTCCAAGTATCAAAATTCCGGAGCCAATAACTGCACCTGAGAAGTTGGCAATCACATTAAGGTACTTATAAAAATTAATATATATTCAATAGGTACATATATTTTATTAGGTAGTAACGTATAAATTAATACCTACCCAGTTAACATAACAATAAAAAACATTTTACAACCTGAACTAAGTAATAGATATAACTTTATTTGGTAAATTAAAAACGAATTCTGTAATTATAATACTAAAAATAAAAACATAACTGAATCAAGTACAAATTTAAAAATAACACCATTTTATAGAATCAAATATGATAAGTAGTATTTACTTATGGCCTTTACTTTAGGATTGTTCAAATAGTAAAATGATGTATAATAATTAAAAATAAAATATTAATATTTAAATATTTTTTATTCAAAGTGTGGTTGGTGTTGGATTTGGCCTCCCAACTGATTCCAATTTTGCACAACATTGGTTAAAACGTTAGGATCTTGAACTTCTGGTAAAATCAATGTGGGTGAATGATTATACACTGAAAAGCCCGACTGTGATGATTGAACACTTGAACTCGGAGATGAAAATGTGTAGTCTACTGCAGGTTGGTGTAGATTCTGTCTTATTAATGAATCACTGTTATTATTTTCTATTTCTAATTGTGTGATGATATTGAAAACTTCTTTTTTTGCTTTAATTTTGAAATTTGAAGAAAACTGTTTCACAGTCAATGCCATAGACTTGAAAAATGCATCAATTGGGTCTTCTTCTCGGTCATTATTAATTTTATTTAAAATTTCTTTTCTTTCGTCGCTGCTTTTCTTCAGAAATTCGATTAAATCATCGTTTTTTTTGGTTTTTTTATTTTTTACTGGCATTTTGTCTGTATCCAATGTTCTTTTGTTTGATTCAAAAATATTATTTACTGTTGTCTCTAAATTATTCATATCCTTTTGGCTTTGTACGTCATCGTCAACATCAATTATAGTGTTATCTTCTTCTTCACTGTTATTAGATGTACATTCATTTCCATCTTTGTTGGATTCAATATTAGACAAACCACTAATAAAAAAATAGAAATAAACAAAAAATATATTCTATGGAAAAAGTAAAATTACCTATATATTAAATTAAATATTACTAACGTTCGTTCATAAGAAACGACATCAAGAAATGACAAACTATCAGCTAATACCCATTTTGTTGGTTTATTACTTGCTGATGATCCTGTACCTAATTTTCTGTTTCGCTTATGTTTGTTGTAAGTGTCTTTAATGTTTTTCCACCTTTTTTTGCATTCATCGACTAAAATTAATCAAATATTTATATTATATATTTGTCTATAAAATATTTTATACATTAATATATAAAAATTTAAAATTTAAAAGCGGGTAAGTGGGACCGCTCTGCTGTACATTAGGTGCCGTATGGATCACTATTATTATAGAAGTGTTAAATTTTAATGCAATTAATCATTGCACACGAAAAACGATTCTGAACGATTCTATGATATTTTATATCTAAAATCGGTTGATAGTACATTGTTATTTTACGTGTGAGTTAAAAAATTTAAAATTTAGACGTTCGTAAAAATGTTTTAAATGACCTACTTAAAAAATAAGAAAAATCAAAAATTTCAACTGTCCAAAATCGATTTTGGTTTTTGTTGTAACTCTAAAAATTCATAAAATTTTTTCTTTAATTATTTTCATACCTAAGGTTAAAAACTTCAACGCAAGGTCATCCATAACTTATTCTTCAAGAAACTTTAAAAAAAACTCGATCGTGATTTTAGAAAACAATTTTATGAATGTCTGAAATTTAAATTTCTACAAAATTGCGTAAAATAACGATTTATCCAAAAATGATTTTCGATATTTGTTATTATTCAAAAAGTATAAGTCGTAGAAACTTGAAACTTTTACCAGGGGTTTAGATTGGCATTTTCATCATATAATTTTATTTTCAAGATATTTCACTAATTTTCAATCTATTCATAGGCATTTGAAATATTCGATTATTTTAATTTTTTTTTGAATTTTGTTAAATATAATAATATAATATATCCTAGACTGACAAATCATCTCCGTTCAGAATCGTTTTTCGTATTCAATGATACCAATTACCCCATTATAGTGACCTACTCTATGACCGAGTTCCATCCCACCCCCTAATGTACAGCAGAACGACCTCCACTTACACGCTTTTTATAATTAAGGATTGAAAATTTAAAACAAAGATTCTTATAAATAGTTCATAGGTACCGTAACCAAAAAGTTTAAAAAATATATAACCAAAATTATTTTTTAGAGACATTTTAAAGTTTCTTATACATAATTCTTACTGAACTAGAAAATCTAAAAAAAATAAACACAGTTTTTATTACGGCCACATTTTTTTTGCATAGGTATATGGCGACTGGTGAATCCTTTCGGTCATTGGCGTTTTCTTTCAGAATATCACAAAGTTACATTACAAGAATTATTAGATTGGTATTAAAATATTTAAGTATTCGACTAACACCTATTTTATTAAGTCCTCCAACAAAAGATGGTTTAAAAATTATAGCTGAGAACTTTTGGAAAAGATGGAACTTTCCCAATTGTGTCGGAGCTATAGACGGCAAACACATACGCATTTTTGCACCAGGAAAAAGTGGCTCTTTGTTTTTTAATTACAAGGATTTCTTTTCAATCGTTCTTCTTGCAATTGTTGATGCTAATTGCAAATTTATATTCGTCGACATCGGTTCATACGGCAAAGAAGGTGATAGTGGAATTTTCAACAAGTGTGGTATCTCAGAAGTAACACGGACTGGTGAATATTTCCCTCTCCCAGAAAAACTGCGAAATTCAAATATAAAATTGCCATACGTACATATTGGTGATGAAGCGTTTCGTTTGGACCGCCATATGATGCGTCCTTATTCAAAAACGGAATCAAGAAAAGATTATCAAAAAACCGTATTTAATTATCGACTGTCTCGAGCAAGGAGGACTACTGAAAATAGTTTTGGGCTTTTATCTCAAGTATTCCGAGTTTTTTACACACCAATACCACTGAAAGTAGAGACTGTAGATTACTTGGTATTGTCTGCATGTTGCCTACACAATCTACTTCGGGATCGATATATAGAGAACACAAGTTACCATTATTACAACTTTGATCATAATGAACCACAACCATCTACAAATATGACGTCACTTGCAAAAACAGGAGGTTTTGCAAATATTGAAGGATTTTGTGTAAGAGATGAGTTTAAAAAGTTTTTTAATAGTTCGCAAGGAGAAATACCTTGGCAACACCACCAAGTTCAACAAAATGGTTCACTTTAATTGATTTTATAATTTATAATTTAAAAAATGTAAAATATTAAAACACATGTCACCATTTTTTGTATCAAATATTGTATATATATTTAAATATTTGTACTTGTAATCTGTACTATATGTTTAATGTATACATATACATATTAATGTATAACATATGCATTAAATTTATTTCAGTTATTATAATAATATTCAAGACATCTAAAATCCATGATCATTAATATTTATTCATAATATACATATCCATTTGTTGGTTTATTAAACTTTGTTTAATTGTTATACCTATATTTACTACATATCAGTCATCAGATTATTTTTAGTCTTTATCCACAACTAAAAATATTCCAATAAAGTATTAACAATAATGTATCTACAAATAACCAAATGCGACTCTAATTTCTATACTGAATGTATTTACTGATAATATGCTTTGAACAAACATGATAGAAATAAAATGAATGTACGAGTACGAAAATAACTTACCGCCAGTTTGATTATTTTTGAGACATAAACACATACTTATAGGAACATAATTTGTCATATTATTGTGCAATGATAGCAAATCCATGACACGCTAAAAATGTTGTTCTAATAACTAATATTCTAATATAATTTATTCTATATAATATAAATAAAAGTCAATGCTTTAGCCATTACATATATTTTAAAATCAATGCTTTAGCTAAATTAAATAAAAATAAAATGCTTGATATTATAGTAACTATGGTTTAATCACTTTTGGCCCTATTTTGAATTATTTATTATAGGATTATTTTAGTTATAATAGGAATAAATATATAATTAATGTATTTATGCTTACCAGTTTTTTTTAAAACGTCTGATATTTGTTGCCAAACATTTTCTTTCACCAGTATGTTTCTATAAAATTTATTTTCTAAATCAAACAAACAAGGATGATTGCTAACAAGTTCAATCAGTTTTGAATCCTCTTCAGGTGTAAACGCCACATTTGATTTTGGTGTCATTTTCCTTCAAGGATGATTTTAATAAAATTGAAATTAAGTTTTAATTGAAATGAATATTCGTCACTCATCAGTCATCAGACTCGTGCGCGATCGCGTTTGGACACCTCTCGGAGCGGTTGCGGATTCGCAGTCGCCGCCGCGCGCGACCGTCGCGCGCTGTAGCGACTGTCATAGGAATCGGTTCCATTTACTAACAAGTAAACTAGTGCGACGCGGCTGAAATTTGAATCGCGCCGCGCCGCGGCGCGTCTACAGACGCGTGCATAGGAATCGCACCTTAACTGTTTCAATTTTTTCAATATTTTTATCAAATAATAATTTATTGTCATTAAATGTT